TTTCTCACTCGTCACTTTGTCATCACTCGTCACTTTGTCACTTGTTCGATAGTGCACTTTATTTTTTAATATTTAACTTTTTAAATATTTTTAATTTTTAACTTTAACTTTAACTTTATTCTTATTTTATACTAACCCATAGCCTTATTCTACTAACCCATTGCATTAGCATTTCATTTTATTTTATTACTTGTGCACTGCTGTCTTGCCTGTCTACTGTCTACTGTCACGCACCAACCGCCAAGACAAATTCCTTGTATGTTTGACATATTTTGGCAATAAATGTTTCCTGATTCCTGATCACTCTCATTAGTGTGTGGGGGGATGGAGTCACGGTGTTGTAGTCTCAACACTACGGCAAATAACTCTGGTAAGTGTTGGTGTTACACATTACTGTGTTGACAATTTACTCTATTAATGTGAAAACAGCACTGATAGTGTAACATTCTAACTATCCAGTCACACTGCTCAGTGTCATTTTACTCAAGATGTGAAATGAATCATTTCATTTTTTAAATTCCGATTATGAACTTTTCTGAACTGAGACGGAATAGTTCTAGAGAGAATCGAGAGAAATCGGTTAATTTATAACCAAACAACGTCGTGGGATTTCACAAACACCGTCATTACCTGTTCGATGCTGCAGCCGTTTGATGCTCAGCACTAAGCAGGAGGAGGAGGAGGGAGGAATCTAAAACAATCAATTCTAAAATTGATAAAAACGATTATCGATTATCTATTTTTAAAACATTGGAGTCAAATCTGAGTTTGCTACTCAGAGGTTACTAATCACTTCTTACTTTGATAGTTAAAGAAAATCAACAGATGAATTACCTTCTCTAATTTTTTATAAGAGAAAGAAATGCAATATTCAATGCAGATTGCATTACAACACAATATGGAAGTAGCCGATGTAAAAAATATTACACAGATTAATTTTTCTTTTAAATTATTAAAGAAAAAGCTGCTCTTATTCAATGATAAGAATATGACGTGAAACGCAAAACGCCCCTTTTATTAATTATAACAGCATATCCCTGACACAGAAAAGAAGTTATGCTACTTCATGGCGCTTGCATTTCAACACATTCAAAAGTAAACAGAAATAACAGTGCTAAATTAAATCATGGCAGTGTACCGTAGTAAAGGTGCTTAATTTCCAGTTAATAACTCGTATTTGAGAATAAAATAGCGCATCCCGTTATGAACCAATACAGGACGGGGTTTGTCCCGTATTTTCCGAGTTGTCGTCAATGCAACATCCCATGCAAATAATCCCACCCGAATTCTGTGAAGAGTCGTCCTATTCTACCCCTGATTGGGTAATACTTCTTGTCAGAGGAGGGCGGGTCTCGTGGAGGAGTGTCGATTCGAAAGACTGGCGGGGGCAGCTCCAGAAGCGAAAGCGGATGCAAAAGTACCCACGAGAGTGGGAGGAATCACCAGGCAGCCACCCCCGTCGGCCGTGCCGTTTGATGATGAATAAATAAACAAACCAACGACTTCCGCACACAAAGACGTCACTCTCTAGGTCGTCTTCGACAAAAAACGTTACTCCACCTATTGTTCTGGCGGTAAATTGCTTTGGAACCATGAATTAAAACGAGTGGTCGACACAACTGTGCGTAAAGACGCAGACGCAGAAGCACGCGCCAGCCTCAATAAATGTGGGAACCCTACGCGCAAAATGATTTACCGAAAGGGAAGAAAGTGTTGAGAAGCGTTCATGATCAGTGTATGAAGTCTATGTGTATGAAGCTAAAATAACATGTATGTGTCGTAGAACGTGAGCTTTGATGCGACAGTTGGTTAAAAATAGGTTATCTGTATGTTAGCTAACCAGCTCGTGTTAGAGTGAGATTAATGTTAGTTTATATTGCTATTTCCCTCGGCGTTCAGTCACGTGACCACAGAGGGGGTATACAGACCGATAAAATAAGTGATTAATTCAGTTCTCAGCAGGAGAAAAACCTACGCTTCGCCAAGCGTAGGTTTTTGTCCTCTTGTCCTGATGAGTGTGTTTACATGTTTTACAGTAACCGTCAATGAACGGATAAATGTGGATCAAGATAAATCCAACGTGCAGTCTTTGAGGGTGTTACATTTTGGCGAGCTAGCCAGGAGAAGCAGCGTGAATAGCCATCCACGTCCAGCTTCATATTAAAAGACGAACCTAGAAGAAAAAAATTGAAAACCTAAACAGAGAAGAATGGAGGAAATTTTGTGATCATACAGACCTCGACGCGACGCGATGCGAAGCAACGTAACACAAAGTGTCGCGACTCTGTAAGGCTGTCCTGGCTATATTGCATTATGTTATCAGTAAAAGTCATATACAATCAATGACCATGAATACACGTGTTAGTAGTTTGTAGTTTATTAAATTTAAGAAAACAGTAAAGAAAAGTATGTCAACACAACACAACAACACAATTGCAGATTAAGAACTATCTACATACGGAGTCTCCTTTTTACAGTAGTGCCCAGAGGGCCTCCTTGTCCTCCACGTCAGGTCCTGCCTTGCACAGAGGAGCCATGAACCCCAGAACGCGTTCCTCTGTGCTTCTCCTCTCTCTATTCGACCTGGTGTTTCTCCTCTCCCTGTGCTCTCTGCATCATTGCCTGTCCTATCAGTGCCTGAAAAATATGTTGAATTTAAGAGTTAACCAGTTAAGTGTTGGGGGAAAATTGTTGAGCCTGCGTGGGGTGAGGCTCTCAGGAATGTGACCTTTGATGTGAGCCGGTGATTTAAGGCGGTCCAGGGTGAGATAAGACACAGATGAAATCATACGTGCCCTGACTGACCTTTTAGATGTTGTTGATTGTCTGGGTCCATAAAGGGAGGGTCACAGGGTCACCCCTACATCATCTGGTACTTTTCCAACACTCCTCTTTGAGGGGTGGGCTCTCCTGTCCTGAGGCAGCACAAACCTCCCTGAAGTGTATATAAGCTCCTGTTCTCCTCTTCAACTTTGTCAGATCTTCCTGCTCCTTTTGGGGGAAGGAACATCTGTCCCTTTTCAGCTGAATTGTAGTCATTTGACTTCTGTCTGTGCTTATGACTTGTGCTGATGATTTCCGTATTCTTTATCTTTTTTCTATATTCTAGTTAGTAATAAATACTTAATCTCAAAGCAAGCTCAAGATACTTTTGATTTCTCACATGGGCTAAATCCACAAATTTCCACCACATTAAGCAGCCTGTCAATTACACTGACAACATGAGTTAAAGGAACACTCATGTACTACCTATGTCATCATAAATAGCCTATACAGCATGTTTTTTTTTCACGTTGAGAACTGACTTGTTTTAAAATTACACCAAGTTTATTTCGGATTATTCCAACGGAAGAATACAAGGCGCAGGGAACTTTGAGGTGCGTAAACGCCACTTAAGAGTTGCGTAAACGCTATTTATAAGTGCGTAAACGCTATTTCCAAAATTCTAGAGGTGCGTAAACGGCGTTTACGTGCGTTTACCCTCCACTACAGCCCTGCTTACAGGATCAAGTTAGTAAAGCATTGCTTACTCTTGAAAAGTCTCAGCTAGTTTTAGTGTGCCAGCATCTGAAGAGTAAGGAGCCAGGCGAGGGTTCGAGAGCCGTTCAAGACGTGCTCTTATCCGGCTAGCAGAGAACACCTTAGAGGAAACGGAAGAGGGTGAAGAGACTGAACAGTTTTTGAAATACTTCAAAAGATCTCCTGTCCTCCATTAACTCTCAGACAAATGATGGAGAGCCAGCAGCCCCGAACCCAGATAGGTCAGAACTCAAAGAACTAAAGCAGAAATATGAGAGAGCAGGAAGATGTGTCTGCGCACCGGATTATAAGGCGCATAAGATACTGCAGTCGTTTGACGTCAGGGCGGGTGGATGGGGGGTATGTGGGGAGGTGCAGACGGTGCTTTCAGGGTCCGATCGATGCTGCGAGGTTCATAGCACAATACCACCATTATTAAAACGAAGAATGTTTACGAGAGAACGGATCTGACTGAAGCACTTTCGTCGGAAGAAATGCGTAAATATGACCACTTATACAACCCGTCATTGGCGGACTATAAGGACGCGCGGATGGCTTCCCGATTGATGGAGGGAGATCTCCGCAAACGTCGGAAGTAGAGGGTGGATACCCGGCCCGACCCGTCGTCGGGTTCGGATAAATATTTAGAAAATATAGTCTGGCTCGGGTCGGGCTCGGACACATCAGCGCGATAAGGCATTGAAGTCCACAACAACGTGGATTAAACCTCGAAGGTTGGACAATGTACATAGTTTTGTGTCGTGTGTATTCTATTTCTCCGTTTTTGCATTGTTTAGAATTTATTTTCAACGTGCTCGCTTGTTTGTTTGAGCGAGTACATTTATCTGTCGATGCCTGAGTTTAATAAAGGCAGGCTATTTATTAAAAAAAAACGTTCGTGACTGTGTCATTATGAACAGTTGAGGCATTGACTCCGTCGGGCTCGGGTCGGGTTCGGACAGAATAGTTTAAAGGCTGTCGGACGCGGGCCGCGCTCTTACAGAAAAAGTCGGCCCGATCCATCTACGCTCTAACGAGAAGGCTTCACGCAGCCACTGCGCGGCGACCTGCCGTCGCCAACTTAATTAAGCCGCCCGCAACTAGTGGCAGCCGTCGCACAAAGTCCTCAACTCACCAACACTCCGACAATCCCGCACACAATCTACAGACCATAGTTGGACGTCTGCAGGGGCCGCATCACTTCACGCGAACACAGACGAGCATCGGAGACGTTAATCCAAAAAGTTTTCCAGAGTTTTTACTTGAGGCTTCGTGGACCTCTTGAGCCGTGAACGATCCTTCCGCCGCTTCGAATTAAATCCCCACAGCACCGAAGTCCCGGTGGGATTCTTCTGTCGCTGTGGTTGGAAGTAGAGCATGGATCGGGCCGACGTTTTCTGTCCGACCCCGGACAAAGATTAACACTGTTGAGAGAGAGAAAGAGATGCAAGGAGGGAGGGAGGGAGGGAGGAGGAAAGAGACTGTGTTAAGGTGAAGAGTGGGGAGGAAATCTGACAGACAGAAAGCAGATGACGAGTGTTGATCGAGCACAAGGCGAGAGGGAAGGTGAGGAGCACTGCAGGTGAAGTTCGCAGGAGGTGAGAATGAGGGGACGTCGCCTGAAGTCACTCTTCTCTTTGGGGATCGCTCTCTTCTGTTTGGGGATTCTGCTGACCGCTCTCGTCTGGTACAATGGCAACAAAAAGTAAGTCTGCGCAGCGGCACCTTTTCTTTTTGACTTGTTACTGGGTGTTGGAGGTGTAGAAGTGGAGACTAAATTTGTGCACGATTCGTGTACGTCTCATAGTCTGTTTTACCGTTAAGTAAAAAAAATGGAACGGAAATACTTTTTCATTTTAAACCAAAAACAGAAAGGGGAAGCCGTTTTTCAGTTGTTTTTTGCCTCGATTTCGGTTATCGAAGTTATTTAAAGTTATTTTTTGTTTTTTGCTTTTAAAAGTTGTGCAAAGTACGACAGATATGCCAGAAAACCAAATATTTCAAAGTAAACGTTTGTCTGCAAGAAATTATTACTGTTTGTGATGCGAGAATCTACCACAGAACATTATAAGAAAAAGTAAATTAAAATTATAAAATAATATTTTATAGACCTATGAATGCGACGCTGATGGGAGAGAACAGCAAGAACCTACGTGCGACGGTTTCTATGTATTTTGAAGCATGATACGTTATTGTGAAGGCCATAACTAGAGTTCTGGATGTGTTGACAGCATCATCGGTGACATGGTGACCCCGAAACAAGTAAATATTCCCGGCTTAAATGCAAAGTCGAATAACATCAGTGTGGCCAATACCATTTGCATGGTGTGACTGAATCAAACTGGTTTCCAAACCGGTCTACTCAACAACACGTCGCTCTTCGTTGCGCAGGGTAAATGTTGTTCTGTTTGTACTCAAGCAATTGAGCAAAGCATCGGGAAATGTCAAATTAACTTTGTCATTTAATACTTTTATACGGATTGTACTAATTCACATTAACTTTAGAATTGCACGGTGTATTTGGGGGTTTTTTTACGTTTGAGGAGAATTTTAATTTGAGGAATATGTAAATACATTTTTTCATTATCATTGATATAATAATGTATTATTATGGTCTGAATATGATTTAAAAACATGGGGGTGAATTTTATACATTTAGAAACAGGCACATCATGCACAGACATTTTGGGGGGCAGGTGCTCAAACCAAAATAAAAGGGCACCGATTGCCCAAATTAGTTATGAAATTAAAAATAATACTAATAAAGAAATAAACACAGTATGATATTTTCAACTTATATATTTATTTTTGATTGATTCAAACTTTATTGATCCCTCAAGAGGGAAATTTTGGTATCACAGCATGTACAGGGAAAAAAATAGAATCAAAAGATACACATTATATACAATATAATAAGATAGAAATATTAAATTATTAAATTAAATTAAGTTAAATAAACTAAAACTGAAACAAAAGAATAACCTTCCAAAAGAGACAATAATAATAATTTGTAAAAGGAGAAGAGGAAGAGCAGCAACATCACAGCAGTATACAGGGTTGTTATTGTCATTATTATTATTATTATTTTGGTAAAACTAACTCAATATATCTAATTTAATAAATAAATGAATAACAGGCAAAAACGGACAAAACAAGGCCATATTGTACTTAAGCAATAAGGTACTCAGGCAAGGCAGTGCTTTATCATTACTTACTTTTTCTGACCGAGTTGAAGCATAAGCAGCATTACACTAGTAATATACCACAATATACCTCACCAGGCTGTCATGTAGCTCAACGCAACGCCTGTCATTTCAATAATTCAATTCAATTCAATTAAACAAAACTAGTGGACTACTGAACTTGTCCAATTTGTAAAATAAATAAAAATTCTGTCTGTCTGTATCTCTCTCCTTCTCTCTCTTCATTGAAAATGACAAACGTCAGTAACCAGACAATTCTGCTGGAACTCGAAAATCCATGATTTCAAAGAAGGGGCACTTTTCTCACCCAGGGCAAAAGGGCAGGTGCTTTAGCACCATAGGGGTCTTATCTGTGCACGTGCCTGATCAGAAAGTATGTTGGGAAGGGTATTGATGAGAAACGCCAAATCACTTACCAGCACGATATCTTCTCCTAAGCTAATAAAGAAATTATTTTAAATTAACGGTCATGAAATATCGTGCCTAGACGAGACTGTAGCCCTGATAGCGCTACCACCGGCGGGTTCCGTAAAGACGCACGGACACACGATGAGAGTAACCAGTCTTTATTCTCAAAAGGGGAGGGCAGTGAGCAGGAATGAGGTCGCTCGTCGTGCGCGCTCGGCTCCGCTCTCGTGTTCTGCTCTCGTGTTCTGCTCTCGTGTTCTGCTCGGCTCATGTTCCCCAGACCTGGATCCTGCTCACTGCTTTTATAGGAGACAATCAGTGCAGATTATTCCCACCTGCTTACTCCTCACCTACCAGCACCGTCCCCTGAACCACTCCCCCGCTCTCCCCCCTGCAGCTGAGCTGACCACGCCCCTCCACCACAGAGACATTTTGTTCCATTTTTACGGTATGCAGTGCTTGCTGATAAATAATCACTTTAGTCAGCAGGACGTCATGTGAGCCACTTTATTTCAATATAACATTATAAGACATTTAAAATAAGGAGAATGAAGATCATCTACATCTGAATGCTTCATTTTTATCCCTGAGATCAGCATTTTACTCTCTTGTCCCTTGTTCTTCATGTTTGTGCCACAGTAACGTGGAAACTCGACAGCTGTCTCTTCAGAAGAAAAGAGCCCCTCCGCCTTCTGAACTTTGTAAAGGCTGCAGGTCAGAGCAAACACAGTCACTAACATTGTTTTTAAACCTTCATTATATCAAGACATGTCAGCGCAACAAGGATTACAATGTGTGTGTGTGTGTGTGTCACAGGCAGGTCATCGACAAAGTAAGAGAGCGTTACAATAAAACCTGGATTAAGCAGGTGGACGATTACCTCAAATTCAGGTAAGAGAAAAGGACATCATTTCAAACTTTTTCATATTTCATACAGAATTTGTAACATAATGATAGAGTTTGACAGAATTGCAAACGATTGTCCATGCAAGCTGGACCTGGGTCTATGGTCGCAGGAATTGTACATTGTGCACTGTCACAGTCCATGAATGTACAATGGGTGAGATTTAAAAGGTAGTTTAAATGAACTGTGCATTAAGCTGTGCTTAATGGTGCACATGGAACAACACTGTTTGTCTCAGTTGGTTATTTAAGGGAGCTGTCAGAACAAACCAAGTATTACGATTTGTCCTTCCAATTCCTACAACGTCGGTTCTTATGCACAATATTGAACTGTGCTTGCTTGCTCTTTATGTGGTAAGTCATGGAAGTAGAAGGGGAAATCAAAATATCGAATAAAGAGAAACAACTTGCAGACTGACGTCTACGACATAGTCTAAAGATAGCATGCCTTTGCATCATGTGAGTTTTAGTAAAACAGACTTCACCTGAGGGACCTAAGACTGTTTTCACTCAGGACCCAATTAAAGTCCTTTATATTAAAGCTCCCACTGAATTTAGTAAACTATGAATATTCCCTCAGAGTTTCCTGTATGTTATTCAACAATGTCTCTGGTTCCACAGATCTCAGCTGAGCAGAAAGTGCCATGGTTTTGACTGCATTCATCACCCAGGACAACACCCCAGTGGGAGCAAAGATTGTGTATGATGGAGAAAAGACGCGCACCCTCCAGGTGACCCCGGAGATTTTCAGCACCTTCCCAAAGGTACGTCGTTTGGCATTTATGAATATCTACATCAAAACAAAGAATAAAAGACAGTAGGATATGTTAGGGTTTCGGAAAGCCCTCGAGGGAGGCCTCACTCCTTTGTTCTCGTCCCGGCCGGAAACAAAGAATCAAAAGAGTCAGCTTGCTTAAATTCAAAAATCAAAAAGTATTTAATAACTAAACAACGTTATAAGGAATACAATTACAAAGTGAAATACTAAGCGAACAGTAAAATATTTCGCGAAATAGAGAATCCTCTGAGCAAGTCTAAAGCGACTTATCAAAGCGGCTGCAGGAGAATTCTAACAGTCCTTTCCCCGCTTTGGTCCTTTGAAAACTCTTGAGGTGTGTCTTCCTTGGTGCATTTGAATGTCATTGGCTTCTTCTTCAGAGTGTCCCCTCCTGGACTGTCCCCTTCACGTCGAGGTGTGAAGCTGCAGCTGTAACCTGAAACCTCACTGTACTAACTGTCCCTCACATTCCAATGCACCCAATGTAGATTCAGTTGGCTTTATGCCTCAATGAGTGAATTTAACAAAGCATACATTGTTTAAGTCTTCATCTTATAACTAGTACACCTTCATTACAACAACCCATCATTAATGATCACCGTTCATCACACTTCATCATAAGATCTAAGACAGTTCATGTGGTTCAATTTTCAAGACATTTGCCTCAGTCGGCTGCCTCGCATTAAGTTGTTCATTTATTACCTGACAGGAGAAAAAACTCCCAAAAAACGACATGTATGATGGTTTCATGCTTAACCTCATGAAGCAGGGTATGCTTTTAGGATGTGGCTACTTTGTGACTGACAGGTTCTTATGCCGTTGTCAGGTTCATTTGTTGTCTCTGCCCAAACAATTAAAAATGTGAAGTAATATAAAAGGCTAAATGTAAGGAATTGAATGATTGTTTTTAAAATGAAGCAGCATTAAAACCTAAAAACAAAAAATAAAACCACAGTAAGAATAGATGCAATCATACACATAATACAATGAGCGGCAAAGAAGCCACGTGATACAAAGAGGAGATAAGTAATGTCAACAGGTTTCAATGTTAAACATCCGTCTCGGGTTGGTGCCAATTCAGACACAGGTGCTAGTTTCTCTGGAAATCGGTTCCGGATGTTTGAGAGCAACATTCCTAAGCTAGCAGCGAATGAGTAGAAATTACTGGGTAAATGTGAAAATGAACACGTAGGAGTAATAATTTGGCCATAGAGGCAGAATGTGAAATACAGGACTGAGCCACACTGTGTGACACGTTGAATGTCTTTCTTCATCATTTGATGAAGTGGAATTGGGATTCCTTTTTGTTTTGTCTCCGGGTTTGACCATCACATACTGTATGACCATTGCATCTTTTTAGATATTATTTAAAATAATAATAATTCTCTTAATTAATAACTCCAGGAGCATCCATTCCCAAACAAAATATGGGGAACATGTTCTGTTGTTGGGAACGGTGGGATCCTGTCCAACAGCAGCTGTGGAAAGATGATTGATTCAGCCGAGTTTGTTATGAGGTTAGAAAAGGACATTTAAACAGAATTAAACTCATCTCTTTAGAAATAAGCAAGAAATAACAATCCCGACATCTTCTGTGTGGCTTGTTCAGGTGTAACCTACCTCCCTTGGACAACGGCTATGAGAATGATGTGGGGATTAAGACTGACCTTGTGACAGCAAATCCAAGCATCCTCATTAAGAAGTGAGTGACAGGACAAATCTCTGCCCCTTAAAACGTCTCCTTTTTGTCATGGTGCTTCACATCTGCTGTTCATTTTACAGATACGGGTCTCTGCAACAGCGTCGGCGTCCGTTTGTGGAAAGTCTGCGTAGCTATGGCAACTCTTTGCTGCTCCTTCCCGCCTTCTCCTACGGCTTCAACACGCCTTTGTCCCTGCGGGCCGTGTACAGCATTGAGGACTTTAAAAGCCCCACCCGGCCTGTCTTCTTCAACCCCGAGTACCTGGAGAGTTTGGGCCTCTTCTGGCGCTCCAGAGGCCTAAAAGCAGCACGTGCCAGCACCGGCCTGATGATGGCGAGCTTGGCGCTGGAACACTGTACCGATGTGCATCTTTATGGGTTCTGGCCCTTTGGTAATCACCCCCAGGGACTCCATGCGCTGACTAACCACTACTACGATGACGTACAACCTAAAAACACAGTCCATGCCATGCCGGTTGAGTTTGAATTCTTGTTGCAGCTGCATAGTCAGGGGGTGCTCAGGCTTCACCTGGAAGATTGTCAACCAGGTGAAAAGTAGTTCCCAAACCCAGCAGAAGGGCCGGAGAGAAGTGCCTCGATTTGTAGCCCACTCGCTTATAAAGTCTTTCATTTTGTATGAATGGACAGATCTTTTTGGGCTCAAGACATGTGTCCAACCGAGGTGGATGCTCACACTTGAGTGAATCGATGAGCAAGACATTTGCACTAAAATCAAACAATTATAAGATTTTAAAAAGAGTTGGAATGGTTCTAAACTGCATTTATTAAGATAGGTTGCAGCTGGAGTCTGGAGGGAGACAATTCCCTTGTCACTTGTGGGACATTGTAGTGCTTTGTTTTGGATCAAACTGAATGTATTTATCACAAAATGAGATATTTTTACTGTACTGTTTGAAACCATTTGTTTGATCTTTTGAGGCAAATACTAGGTCGGTTTGCAGGTGTGGTTCTGGCATTGTACAATGAGGCACGGGGCCCATGTGGGTGTTGATGTAAGGGTGCATATGGGTGAGTGCCTGGTGATGGGGACAGGTACGTGTGGATGGGAAGCAAATTATTTCTTGACGGTGTCTCGACCTGACGTGTCGGATGTTGTTTTATGATGAAGGAGATTGTAGTGGCCATTTGTCCTTGGGATTCAGGCTTTTGTAATGGCAAAATGAATGCAACTCTTTTGGAGGCCATCTGTAGGTATGAGAACTGGCCCTGTTGTGAGAGGAGGACGGTTCTTGGCAGTCTACGGAGCGTGCAGCTGTTTTTGGCGTGACCTTTTTTCCCTTGCAAGGAAATAAACGCTGAAAGACATATTTGAGCCTCATCCTTATTTACCGATTGTCTGTGCAAAATCTTTCACAAGAATTTGGTGTCAGAAGTGAGATCGTTTGAAGTTCCGTCGGGAAAGGAGGCCTCTTCAGGATCCACAAAAAAGTGTGTCAGTGTTGCGGATGGTGGACGGGAGTCAGCCAGGTGTTAAGTACAATAGTGTTTATTGACAGGATTCTGGAACTAGACAGAGATATGGTAGTAGGCAGACAGTTGGTAATCAGGACACAACTTAACTGAAGGGTAGTCAGAGTCTCAGGTTACGGATGCTGAAGGAGATTCCCTTGGAGCAGACGGAAGGGGTTCAGGTACGTGGCGGGTAGGTTGCGTGAGAGTCTGTAGAGACCAGACCAGACCCTGAGTGTGTGTAAAGAGGAGTCGAATATAAAGGGAAGTGAACTGATGAGGTGCAGGTGATTCAAACTCAGGGGACTGTGAACGAGTGGGAGGAGTGAGTGAAGCTGGTGGGATCCTGACAATCAGACTCAGAGAGAGGGGTCCGGCGACCAAAAGGGTCCTGAAGATTTTCACTCAAATCCGGTAAGAAGTTGATATTCTGATTTCAAAGGGATGTTCTGTATTGTACCGGGTGATAACAGATTACAAAGACGTGCATTTAGAACTTCGTAATAGCGGAAGCAAACTGGAGGAATAAACTAATTCTTTTTGTTGATTGGGCGAGGATAACTTTTCCATCCATCCATCCATTGTCAAACCGCTTATCCTGAACACAGGGTCGCGGGGGCGCTGGAGTCTATCCCAGCCAACTTCGGGCAATAGACAGGGTACACCCTGGATTGGTCGCCAGCCAATCGCAGGGCTACACAGAGACACACAACCATTCACACTCACATTCACACATCTACGGGCAATTTAAAGTCCTCAATTAACCTGATCCCCAGAGCATGTCTTTGGACTGTGGGAGGAAGCCGGAGAACCCGGAGGGAACCCAGGAGAACATGCAGACTCCACACAGAAAGGCCACTGGGCGGAATCGAACCCAGGACCTTCTTGCTGTGAGGCGACAGTGCTAACCACCACGCCACCGTGCCGCCCAGGATAACTTTTCCGATTATTGAAAAACGTGTATGAAATCATGAAAGGAATCGTAAAGTATTTCTGATTCATCAGCATCCAACTTTTTATTGAGGAAGACAATTTGCAGATTAACGATTGTATTCAGACTAATACTCGTATCGTATAATTGTGACCCTTGACCAAGAGGAAGACAGGGACAATGTCTAATTGTATAACCCTCATAGATTTTTGTCTCTGTGTCAACCCTGTGATTTACTGGCAACCAATCCAGGGTTTACCCCGTCTCTCGCCCCCGATGTTAACTGGGATTGACTCCAGCCCCCCTGTGACCTTGCATGAAGGATGAGCGACTTTGAAGAAGGATGAATGGATATCAGACACAGTTGTAGGCTATACTGTATGTTCCCTATTGTAACGGAATAATATCCTGTTTTATAAGGTTAAAGTGTAAAGCTCCTTGTCACTGATTTACTCATACACAAACACAACTGCGTGCGTAAAAGTGTCTCAGGCCGTTAACTGATTAGAGCTGAAGACAAAAGTGTTTGTCCTCAACCAGGAACCAGGGCAGAGGTGCCAGGAAGGGCTATATCATCTTATCAATGGTTATAAAGATGCATGTAATACTCTGCACTCTTGAGAAGAAGCTCATACTGCTTCCCATAAGTAGCTGTTGCAATCTTTGATAACTTTGCAAAGAAATAAACGGAAAAAGACAACTTTGATTTCTCAGGCTTTATTCACGATGCCCGTAAATCTTCAACCACATTACATTTTGTTAGTTAAATTCCTTCTGTAATTTAAAGCCTATATTACACACTTTCCTCTCCTCTTTTCATCGCCGAATAAACTGTCCAAGTGTCATGACACGACAAACATGAGCTTGAGTGACGTCTCTTCTGCCTCCTGTGTGGTTCTTGCCAGTGACACAGCAGCCTGTGTATAATTCTCCTCATAGGCCTGCTCAAAATAAAAAGACATGATCGTACTAACAAGAACAGGACAATGCTCTACATCTCACAAGTCTTTTTTTTCCTGATGTTTTTTTACTTCTCAGCCACGGGGCCCAAGAAAAGATGCAAAAACATGATTTAATAAGCAATTCATTGCATTTATTTATTTTTAGGAAAATAGATCTTTTCACGTGCACATTTCTTCATCAAATAATATGAAAAAGTCTTTGCCAAGGGATACCAGATTGGTATTCAAAGAAATACATTTACATACATTTTTCAAAAGGCATAGAAAACACACAAATACACATATGCATGTATGAATCAGATTTTTTTAATGGTATAACCACTGGTTTTATTTCCACATCCCATCCAGATGGGTGACCATTAAAAAACATGTAGGGAAACACTAGTCTTTCTTCTGAAGACATTCTTTTTACATTGACAGACAGATGCTGAGGGTGAACATTGTGGCATCCCTGATAAATAACAAAAGACCTCCGCTTTGTGATGAGCTTCAACTTCTTATTCATTCAGCTGCCAAGTATCAAGCATAATTAAATGGCTGTAAGTTCCAACATGTGTCTTTAAAGGTATGCCAATGTATATAACAATACAATGTGGAGCAAAACATGTCATAATTCAATTTTTTTTTTCTACCATGCAAATGTTTGACTTATGCACATGTCAGTAAGCAACCTGTTTTGACTTAGAAAGCATTAAACGAATCAATGCAACTTTCACGAAGAATAAACATTCCCAAAATATACCAACTTGGACATATTGCTGCACAGCGGTCAAAACACATATTGGCTCAGTACAATTCTGACAGGGCGCTTTCAACCTTGGTTTGCACTGTGTTTTGATTTCTAACCATGTTAGTGACACGTTGGAGACACATGGCTTCCAAAGCACAGTAACAATATGCAAAAAGGAAAAAATTCTAATACATTATCTGTAAGAGCAGAGAATTTCGGTTCAATGAGTACACCTCTTTCTTTCTACCATATTCTCTTACTTTCTCAGTCAGCAAATAGAAAAGAAATCACATAAACTAGGATAGATTTTCAAGATGTGAGGCCAAGCTCATATCAGCTTATGGTACCTCCTTTGAAAATTCCCCATCCTCCCTCTCTAGGTGCTCCCTCCTTTGACAGTAAGTGGCCCTTCACTGGCTCCTGCTGGCTCTAACTGCTCATTGGGAGAGAGTGGCGTCTGTGGGGACAGTGTCAATCGCTGCTCTGGGGAGAAGCGGACTGAAGTACTTGTGGTGATGTATGACTGTATACTGGAAGCTGGTCCCCTGGGGGGCTTGTTGATCAGGCCCACTCAGATAGACTCTTTCTGCTCGAGCACCCTGTTGTGTTCTTCGCGGTGTTTTTGTGAAAGACGCCACGACACAGAGTCCAGCCTCACATGAAGGACGGTCCAGTAAGTTCACGGTTTGCAGACAACATTAGTCCTGGATTTCAGATTTGCTCCACCTCTCAATTTTGTCCATGAAAGCCACTGTGGGCAAAGCTTGGAATGGTTTGAATAATTTGGCACTTCATGTCCTTTTGTTTGTGTCCATGCACATGGCTGTTCAGCAGATCTCAGAACAATGTTGGAAAAGGAGTAACACTTAAAAAAAAACATGGTCACAGATTTGCCACATGGGTTAGATACTGACACTCTAACACACAGGGAATAGTCTGGCTTTTTTTCATTACTTAAATAAGTCACCGACATGTTACAAAAATATACTATGTCATTTTTCACATTTTTTACAACTGGAAGGCAATTTAAAACACAATAACCATACGTATCCATACACCACATTATTTATTAAAAAAAGCTTTTTTTTTCTTTATTTTACAAAAAACGTTCTTTAAAAAAATTGTGTCATCATAAAAACTGGCTCAAACAGAGAAATTGATTCCATTTTGAATCATGTTCCAAAACACTTACTTTAATACAAAAAAGCTAATTACAAAATGGTTGGTCTCACGTGGGCATTTGTCCACATTTGGAGTAGAATGGCCACAAACCACCAGGCTCCAGGGCAGCCTGGCATAAAATCTTGGCACTGACACTTGCATCACACAAACAGTGTTTGGTCTCAGGATAGCAATGGCTTTAAACCTTCTCCATTACGACGTGGTGATATTGCAGCATCTAACGCTGAAGTTGCTGCGCTAAAAAGACTGACACAAGTCAGTCAATAAAAAAAGGAACACTAAAGCTGGTTAAGTTCTTGCTGGATCCAGGAAGCGTTTTCTTATGGCGTCTACTACCCAAGGCAGGAGTCCCCATCGCCTAAGAAGATACCACTAGGGGGCAGTCAACTACAAGGCAGACGAGATATCACTGGTCAATAGCTGTGGAGAGCCAGAGCAAGGTATTGAATAACTAAGTTTAAGAGTAAGGTATAAAAACTGGATTGCTTATGCACCTTTTTAAAAAGAACACACTTTTTTCTCAAGCCATTTCAGATGTACACAGGATAAAATAGCCACCTGCTGTACTTCTCAGTTTCTGAGAACCATTTGTTGTAACACAGTCATAATTGAAAAAACAAGAAAAACACAGGAAACTACAAACACACTGTCAAATGTCAAGTCACAACAACATAACATTGGAAACTCTACATCGGAGAGAAAGCAGACAGAGAACATGAGTGACAGGACACGGCCTTTAGGAAGGTGATGTTCTCATTGTACTATAAAGTCACCCCTTTAGGCCCTGATGCTGAATACTGTTTCATTTCGTTTGCATGTACATTGTTTTGGCGCTGAGAACGCCACTACAGTATGGAGTCAAGGCTTTAGTTTGCCAGAACGTACAGATGTCATGGCATCCCTTTGCCTTCCAATTATGAGGATACTTCATTTTGATGTCCGAAGAATCGGGACGCAAATGAGTTAACGGAGATGGTGTCTTTGCGGAGGAGCGGCGAGGAAATGAGTTAAGCCAAATCTGGGATCAACCAGATTAGCAACGGAACTCATTATTATTCAGTAATTTTTCCAAAGTTCAAATCCCTAAGAGAGGATGAACGGGAAGACAACAGAGGTCAACAACGTGCTCCAGGACTTGAGGAGAACAAGACATGTAAACGACCGACTGTAGCTTGCAGTTTGTGTAGGTGTGATGTTTCAAGTTAAACAGTGAAAGCCCAGAAAACACTACTTGTCAGCTGCAATATCTGTGGTACACAAACACACATCGTCTCCAGCTTGCAAGATTCTTTAAGGCACAACGGCTTTTAAATATCCAAGGAAGATTGCAACCCCTCGCTTTCGTGTCTGCAATGTACACATGGTTTCAATGCATGACACTGTTTCTGGAGTTAAATCCACACGGAGGGCTTACCCTCTCCTGACTTACTGCTGCTGCTGTTGCTGCTGCTGCCTCCTCCACTGCTGCCTCCTTTCCCGTGTTTGAATCTATGCTTGCGCTCTTTCTGAGGCTGAGGCTGAGGCTGAGGTTGGGCCAGGATGATGTTGCTTTGGGGCTTGTCGTCCCGGTTGTCCCCGAGCTGTTCCTCGGCTCGGTGTTGCTGACTGTAGGCCTGGATGGCCGCCTCCAGCTGCTCATGAGCTTGCTGGATCATGTCTTTGTTCAAAGCTACGCGGGCCTCCCCGCCGGTGGGAAAGTTATCCTCATTGCTACCAAATTGCTGCTGCTCCTCTTGGGCAATGTTTTCCCGGTTCTGCTTGCACGCCATCTTTGCGTTGCTAAGGTCTGTGTACGGCATCTGCTCTGGCTTTACCACAATGTTGTAGCCAGGTGGAGCAGACGGGGTGTTCCACGAGAAGGGGTAACCGACATAGTCTGCAGCCCCATCTCCACCCACCCCTCCCTCGGAGCCTGCCTCGGGCCCTGCAGCGCCTACTGAGCCCTCCACACCTCCACTGTTGCCCAGCAATCCCAACTGGTACTCATCTTCCTGAGGTTGGTGGCGCCGGCGGCGCAGAATGTCACAAATGGTGCCGATACCCAGATGGAGCATCTCCCAAACGTTGAGCGTGAGGCAAAGGACGGTGACACCATACATGATGCGCAGGAAGATGGTCTTCTCCGTGGGACGCGACACAAAGCAGTCAACGCTGTGGGGACAAGGATTCCTCGAGCACACAAACACGGGCGTCACACGAAACCCGTACAGCAAATACTGGCCTGCAAGGAAGCCTGCTTCAAGCAGCGTACGAGTCACCAGTTGCAAAACGTAGACCCGCATCAGCCCCTCGTCTCTGATGCGCTTGCGCCCATCATGCCTGATTTTGGGTCTGGGTGCGGGTTGCAATGGATCCCGCGGTCTTTTTGGGGGCTCGATTTCTGGCACTTCATAGATCATAGGATCATCCTCTTGGTCGTCCTCGGTCTCCTCAATGCCCCGGTGCTGCCGCGCTCCAAAGCAGATTTTCCTGGGCTTCCTGTGCGTATAGCCTCCTCCTCCTGTTCTAACTGCAGCAGATCCACCGCCCCCTTTGGCCTCATCTATTCGTGCGATCTTATTGACAGCGTAGCCCATGTACATGAGAGAAGGCATCGCCACTAAGATGATCTGGAAGACCCAAAAGCGAACGTGAGACAGAGGTGCGAAGCCGTCGTAGCAGACATTCTCGCAGCCCGGCTGGCCCGAGTTGCAGACAAACTTGCTCTGCTCGTCGTAGTAGATCGACTCTCCCCCAACAGCGGTGAGCACGATGCGGAAGACGATGAGCACGGTGAGCCACAGCTTCCCCACGAAGGTGGAGTGGTTGTGGATCTCCTCCAGCAGCCGCGTGAGGAAGCTCCAGCTCATTATGTCGCTGGACAGTGGGGCAGACAGTGTCCCTCTCTCACCTGTTCACAGACTCTGGAGAAAGTAGAGCAGGAGGAAAGGTGGAGGAAAGGAGGAGGGAATAGGAGATAAAAGAAGACAGCTTGAGTTTGCCATAAATGCAAATTTCATGAATTCATCAAACTAAGTATAGCATTTTTTCTTGACCTTTATTTCCATGGAAGTAACATTTGTTCTGCAAAACCTGTAGCACAATGGCAAAGGCGGTGACACAATAATGGCATTGATTAAAAGAGGTTTTCCTCTTTTTGTGGCACGAACGCACACTCCCTGAATTTGGAGCTCAGTTGCTGTCAAGTTCGGGCTTTTTTTGGGAATTAGAAGACCGAACAGGGAGGAAAGAGGATATTGGTATTAAAAAATATCATCAAGCAGCATTGAGAAGGAGAGGAAATAATCCAAATGGGGAATTTGGGGAAAGTACACACTCACTTTATTTAACAGCCATCTCTTTTTGAAGAATAAATCCTCTTAGCGATCCTTCTTCTGTGTGAGGTGCAGTTTTCAGGATTGTATTAAACTGACGGGTCTGTTATGGTTCTGAGGTAAACAGCATTGTGCTGCGCTTCTGTGCATGTGTGTCTGTGTGTATCTGTGCACAGTTCAGGAAGAGGGACATGTTGCCTATATGTAGGTTAGGTCTGGGCTCCAGGCAGTCCATTCAAACCAGCAGAATCAGCAGGTGGCCGGGCTCAAACTGTTGGAGCGGGGAGTCAGATTGCAGACCCACATTAGCTCAGGCAGTGGAGCTGAACCCAAACACTGCCGTCCCTCAGGGCGGCTTTGGGGGGGATAAGTACGACACCTCCACTGAACTTTCCCCTTTATGAAGCTGCAATAGCGCATGGCTTATTGTCAGCTGGACTGGGAGGAAAATCCAACCATGAATTATAGCTTAGTTTGGGGTTTAAAGGGCTTCCAGGGACGATATCCTTACCATGCAGGTTGAGGGCTTAGTCAAAGCGAGTTGCCGCTGCAGCGAGAGGAAAAATGTAGCTAGAGGAAACCAGCAGGCACTCTCAGCCCTCTGCTTCGTGTCTCCAGTAGGAGAAGAGAGGGCGGGAATGTTTGTGGAAAGGCTTGCGATGAAACATGTGTCATATTGAACACTGTCACCATATAAGGACACGCCTGGGACAAAGGAGGTGGATGTCAGGGATCCTTTGTGTGTACATGCACAGCCCAGTGCGCTTATTATCCACGGACAGTATGTGGCAAAAACTGTGCGCAATCCGACCAGGCGACGGAGCCTATGGGAGGATGCTAACGGTGAGCGTCTGTGACCGACATGTATGAGTAAGCAGCAAATGGCTGGAGCGGAGCGAGAGGCGGCTACATGCAGACAGAGCAATGGCAGCGGCCTTCCATTACATCATTGCATCTCTGTTCTGCTGTATTTGTCTTTTCAGTGCTGTACATTCAGAAGGAATAATAATTGTTGTTAGTATAACTATAATTATTATACATATGCATATGTGTATATAGCAAATAGTAGTACAGTAGTATAATAATAATTATGCTAATAATAATAGTATAACAAATAGTTATAATACAGTAGTTATTCTGTCTGTTTATATAATACTGTTTTTAAGTTTTTTATTGCTTATTTTCCATACTTATTATGATTTATTTTTATTTTTTTGGAAGACTATTTGTCTTGTTTGCACTAAAATTAAGGAGTATCTTATTTTATCATATACATATATATGTATATATTTTGAGCGATTTTGGCTTTTGGTCCGAGAATCTTTTAGGTATGTGCATAGCCTCTACCTGCTGTTTTGAATTTAAGGGAACATTACTGTAATTACTTTAGTCTATATGTTACAGCTCCTGGTGTTATTGTGATATTGTTGCTTCAGTAAAACCCGCTAGATTACTTTTAAGCGAGTCATATTTGGGTTTCTGTAAAACCTGCTCGATTACTTTTAAACGAGTCATATATGGGTTTGAGGTAACAGGAACTTAATGCACTTTTGTAGCTAGAGCCCCAGCCAAAAACAACCCTTGCACACCCACAACATACAAAGAAACCTCTGTGTGTCCTTTGATGATTTCTTTTAATTTGTTTGCACACCAGGAACTGTCACGTTACCTTCTGACCAGGAGGGACACTTCAGCCCAGGGCCGAGGTTGCCATGGCCGCAGCTTAATACTCCTGCTATCTCAGCCACATATAACCTGGCATTCGCTTTCTCATCCAATTAATGTCTGCGGGAGCTAGTGGGGCAGTTAGGGGTAAGAAGCTGACTCTGTGCATTAAGTTACTGTTGTGAGTCAGCCTCCCGAAAAGCAGCGCACAGATCAGCAGCAGGCAGCCTTTCAGTCTGTTATTCCGATACAAACAAAGAACAGGTTTTTATATAAATTGGTGGAAATCATCTCACACTTGGAACACATCAAAACGCACAACAGACTTTCTACAGCCAAAAGACCGGCAACAAGGAAAACCCCTTTGAGTGTCCACCTGCTAATGATCTTTGACAAGGAGTGACATTCAGGACCAACGGCTCCATAGGCCACAGACCAGGGGGTCAGAACTGTGGAATCATGGGTCATCAAACTATCAGACAATACAAGGTCAATGGTTAACAAGATCAGTTCCAAGGGGATGATCTCTCCAAATTACAAGCTCACGTGCTAATTCAACCAGACAGTTAGTTATAGAGTTAACGTCACTGGACGGGTCCCCTCATTCACTGGCTTTCCTCCCTCGGGACTCACAGAGACTCACATGCAGATACGTTACATAAACAAGACGCCTACATGGGCCAACACCCACATCTGGCTACATCAGCCTCAAAAAGCACTCAGACTAGAGCCACATTGTCCCTGTACAACGAACGGCGCATTGGGGTGAGCTCCGGGTGCTCTTCGTCATGTGGACAAAGCCATCCAACTAGAGGGCTCTCGGCTTGGGAGGGAAGACGGGGGGCCGAGCTCACAACAGGACAGACCGCGACCTGCGCAGGAGACTACTGCATGTGAGCGAGGGGTGTAATTGGGGCAACAGATGTGTGCATCGTTGAGGAGTCCTACTCTGCTCTGCAACATGTCAAGGTACATAACTGGTGGGCCAGGTCCTTTAACCCTAACATGCCATTTCATTTAGGCAGATGCTCATCAAAATGCAGGTGTTTTTTTTTTAAAAGGCAGTGAAGAACGATAATAAGAGCTAAATATTACAATCAAGAATTCAAAAGTTTATGGATTCATGTAATATAATTATTATATAAAGTTGTGCGTATTGACAGTCAATTAATTGTCCAATTTTGATTTTGTTAAAATGCACAATGAACATGCAGGCAAATGCAATTGCGGAACTTGCAACAATACAATGCAAAGGAATCAAAGAGGACAGTCAAGTCAAAGCAGAGGGTAGAGGTCAGAGGTTACCACCAGATGCCCCGAGCGTCCTGTTAAGACTTTTAATGTAGACGAATTCAAGATGGTAACGATATCTCTTTCTGTCCGTGTTCTCTATTTTGTCTCCATTCTTCCAGCTTGGCTTTGATGTATACAGATCTATGCATAAACACACACAGACAAACACACACTCACAAAGTCATACTAATAAACAGAGGCCACGGGTGATTTAGATAATGAACGCCCCGTAAACGCCAGGAAAAAAGCTCTAATGGGTGCATGTAAGTATATTAAATTGATGTTCTTCAGGAAGACCTTTAACCAAGTGAAGCGGATTAACATTTGCATGCACATCTAAAACATAGTTAATTGCAAAACAAAACTGGGAGTACATAACATTAATATTGTTCATTTATTATATGTAAAGTAATTATTGCAGTTATGGGAATAATACATTTTCAGATTTGTTTGTTTGATCTCTTCTCGTCTGAAATCTTTCATAGTAACCAGGATACTCTGATTTTTGCCCATGAATGTATGTATGAGAGTCAGTACAATCTTGGTGCAGACATTTCCTAATTCACCGTGATGCTCTCAGTTAGATCTCTAAGTGTTTTTAAATTAATTGTGAAAGATCGTGGGGCAGATCCAGGAAAATAAACCATCAGCGTTTTACAGCTCCAATTGATTTAGTCGTGATACTGCTGATCTGCTGCCATTAAAACATTCCTCATTTGGTCTTTTACAGTTTTATATGATCATGACGGCTGCCTTGTTTATGGCGTTTATTGTGTTTGTCTGTGACATTTAATGACAAATAATTAGAAGATTGTCTCCATTATCCTGATGTCATAAAGCTCCTATTGCCGACATTACCACTGGACTCACTCACTCGTCACATCTCCACAGCAACACTGTCCTGTGTGGCTGCTGCAAGCAGTTGATCATTTTCAAACCCATTTACGGAGGGATACATATTTGTATCTTTGTCTCATATGCCCATGATTATTTTTGTAGTAGGTTGAGCATCATTGCTGCGAGGATTCTTAGCTGTTCGATGCACTCAACAGGAATGATGAATTGTCTGCTACGTCGTGCATTTCATACTTTTGTACTTTTTATAAGTAAGATAATGGTATTAGTGTCAAAGATCCATGTATCACAAGACCAAATTATACTTTTTGATTTCGTGCTTCCACAAGTGCTCTCAATCTGTCATCTTACGCAATTGACAGGGTGATAAAAGCTTTAAGGATTACAATATTATTACAATAATTAAGTTAACAGTGGAAAGCAATACATTATAATTCTTTGATGGTATGATCAGGATGAAGAGTAAATGTTCGTTTTTCAAATGGGCTTAATTGAGAGATGCCAAACTGTGTTTTTTCTTCTGAAACAGACCCATTTTTTCCCCAAAAAATTATACATTTATTTTGCATAGAGTTGGTAAACTTAAATAGTTTCAGGCGTGTTTTTCGACATCAAAATCTCACACCTTCAAACGTGGGTGAGGAAATCACATTTGCTTATTTTGAATTAACATGAATCTTTAACAAAAATGCAATCAGCAAAGATTCAGACGGAAGCCGTTCCGTGTGCCGGAGTTTGAAGCTGCCAGCTCCACCGACATAACACGCTGCTGTGTG